TTCCGGACAGGCCGCACCAGGTAAACTAAGCCAAACTAAGGCAAGCTTGCAATCATCTGAAAAGGCATCTCAAGAAGGCAATAAAGAAACTTCTAAGCCTTCTGATGACCATCAAGCTTCAGAAGCTACAAAAAAGTTTGACGAGTTCGGGAAGCTCTGCGCAGAAGTACCCAAAGTGCAACAGAGGAGGGAGCAAAGTTTTTTCTGAGAATGTGCATTTAAGATCAGATTCCCATCTGAAAACTGTAATAAAGGACAAAGAAGTAGTCAACAAGTTTTCCGGACAGGCCGCACCAGGTAAACTAAGCCAAAGTAAGGCAAGCTTGCGATCATCTGAAAAGGCATCTCAAGAAGAAGGCAATAAAGAAACTTCTAAGCCTTCTGATGTGAAAAATACAATGAAAGATGCGTTGGCAGCTAGAAAACGGCAGCGTGATGACATCGAAGCATTGCTGCCTTCAGCTCTAATTTCTTCAAAAAAAACTGGTGTGACATCAAAACCTGCTCCTGTCAAAAAACCATCTTTGCGCAACAACTGAAAGTGCCAATTATATGACATCCAAGGTAAGCTTCATTTTTCTAATTTTTTTCTACCTAGTTATGCTGCGTCAGAATGTGTAAGCATTTGTACTGTAATATAATTCTAAGCCATTCATCTATCTAATAACCTGCAACCTTTATTTTCAGGCTGTGAATCTCAAAAAACCCCTCCACATCCTTCTGAGTTCATCATTTTCCTTCAACTATCGCATTTTGGACGGTAGCCACATGCGTTTGAGCTCATGTGCTAATCGGTTGGTAGGAATTTAGTTTCCATCCACATCGGAAGGTATCCGACTCATCCGACTCGTCCGCCTCTCGCCTGAGCTCATGTGCTAATCGGTTGGCAGAAGGTATCCGACTCATCCGACTCGTCCGCCTCTCGCCGTACTGTTGATGCTCATTCTCTTATTGATTATGCTATAAACTTTCAGATATTGAGTGGAGAGATTTAGAGTGAGGAAGTGGAGCATCCACAGCTCTCCATCACTGCTCTCTGAGCTCCATGTAAAACCCAATTTCTAGCGAAGAACAAAAGAAAGCAATTCTTACATGCATTTGAATCCGCTGTCAATCCTCAGCAGAAGTGAAGCTCACAAATACGTTATCCAAGTCTCCTCTTATATCCCATCAGTTTTGCTACATGCCACTCTAGATCTATCTTGTATAAAGATATATAAACATAATTCATTTTATACTAGTTTTTCATTTATATGATTATTAATCAATCACCAATGATAAGTTTTGGTTTATCTATATAAATTTCCCCTTTTTTGGTCATTTTTTTCTTACACACTACACTTCAAAGTATATCATGAAATTTGAAGAAAATCATGATGAAGAAAACTTTGTTGCTACTAATGTAGTAACACTAAAACATCTTACTTTGATGAAACAACAAACATTATGGTGCAACAACCACATCCCTATTATTTTCATCATTCTCATAAGTCACAACTTTTCTCCTAGGAACAATATCAGTCATGTACAGAACTGCAATAACTCCACAAGTGGAGGCAAATACTAGCACAGGGCTGTAGATCCAAAGCACCAGCGGCATTGCCGTGAAGAAGAGGCGATTAGCTATAGTGTTCAGGAGAATACCCTTTGTCAGCATCGTCAACAATTGCTCAGGTGTCACCTTCGTCTCTGGGAGTATGAGGGTGTTAATGGCTAGGGAAAGTTGGGCCAGGAAAGTTATGGAAAGAGTCTGGCAGAAGAAGACGGCCATGAAGGCGAGGATGAGCACGGCCGACTTGTGCGAGACCTCAACCTGGTTCAGATTGGTCAGGACGAGTTCTCGTTTGTCAGAGATGGTGCTTGTGAAGGCGAGAAGGCCGCAGCAGATGAGGAAGGAGGAGGAGGCTACTAGTGATGAACCCATGATGTTGTTTCTCAGACTTTGAACTGCCAGCACATTCTTTTTGTCATTCTCCTGTGATGGGAAGGTAAGCCCAAAAGAGTTAGCATTAATATTTTAGACTTCAAATATGATTATTTATTGTTTAAATCATGAAAAATATTTAAAAAAGTGATATTTTATATTTTATATGAAGTGGTTTAACTTAAACTAAAATTGATTTTTTATCTTTTAAAATAAATAAGCTTGCTTGAGCTTGAACTTGATTGATTAATCCAGCTTAAGTCCAGTGTAACTCGAGTTCGGCTTGACTCATTTACACCTCTTCTCCGAAGTAATAATTGATCTCGCTTCTTCAATGCAAATGGTTTGGAGCTGGATTCATCATGAAATATTTCAATTTATGTGATCTATCTTCTCATTCAAAATAAAAAAAATTAAGCTGAAGCTTTGCAGCTTAAATAACCTTTTTTTTATTTATTTATTTGCATCAAACGTGATATGCTATGAAAATTGATTTTTACATTAAAAGCCAGAACGTTTTATATATATATATATATATATATAAAAGTATTTACAGATACCACAATTCTTATGTATTTACATATGCAACACCTAAATTTTCATATTTATGTATGACAACCAAGTTCTTAATCACATAAAAAATTATGATTATTCACTTCGTAAAAAATTAAAATGTAATGATACAAAGATTTGCAAATATGAAAGTTTCGCCGTTACATAAAAATTATGTAATTATGAAGAAAATAATAGAACACATTACATAAATAAATAAATAAATTATTAAAAAAAATTATCGTAGGTTTCTATTACCTTCAACATGGCTGCAACCCACATAATTTGCCCAGAATTTCCAACGCCTATGGTGGTCCTCTGCGGCCACTTCTTAACCATCACCAACAGCCAGCAGTGATATACTGTTGACACCACAATTCCCAACGGCACAAATACGAGATCCCAATAAAGCCTTCTCCAAGCCATTCTCTCCTCTCTCCTCTCTCCTCTCTCCTCT